TTATACCTTTCCATGGACACCCCTAGGGTATCCCTGTCTCCCATGCCCTCCAGATATCGGGCAGACAGGAGAGACCAAGGCTCTGCATTCCATTGCTCCTTGCCAGCCTCTTCCCAGCACTCCCTTCAAGAGGCCCAGTGGAAATATTATCAGCAACCGTCCCTTACAGTTGGAGAAACTGAGGCAAGGAAAAGGAAGCAAGGACACAGTTCTGTAGCCAGTACATATGGCTCTAGTCTGTGCAGCAAAACTCAACTCAAAGGAAGCTGCTCCAGTCCTGTAGGCATCCTAGTGTCCTGGTGAAGGGTGGGAGTATATGCCCCATCCTCTGCCAGCCAGGACCCTTGGCCTCAGAGATTTTGCTGTCTTAGCAAGGACCTAAAAATGACCCGGCTCCTAGCACATGATCCTCTCTTCACCACTGGACTCTGGCTTTACCACTGGAGGTTGGCTCTTTTATCAGAAACCTGAAGGCAGCCAGTGGAAGCCTTCCTTCTCAGGAAGAAAGGGAGAAGGCTACCTGATACTGTGAGGTCACCATCATTCCCACCTTTGCACTCTCGAATTCCTGCCAGTCATGCTATCCTGACTCCTTCCCACAGGGAGGGACTGGGCACTTTGGCCTGCAGGAGAAGATAATGTAAGATAATGCCCAGGTGTGGTGACTTAAACCTGTAATCTCAGCACTCAGGAGGGAGATGGCGATTGATCTCTGTGAGTTTGAAGCCAGCTCAGGGTTTATAATGAGTTCAAAGCCAGCATGGTGCATGATGAGTTCTAGGCCAGCCAGAGATCCTGTCTCAAATAATGAGATCCTGTCTCAAAACAAAACAAATGCCCACTCAAGCCCCACAAGTAGGATTTTCAAAGCAGCCAGTGTGGTTGGTGGGAAAAGGGTGTGGGCATTGGTTCTGGGTGGTGGAGGCCACCCTGCCCTCACTAGGCCTCAGAGTCTTCTGGTCATAATCCTGTTCCTTCTCAGCTCCCATTCAGACACAGACCCTCCCTCCCAAGCCCTGGAATGAAGGCCTGGCCATTTTAGGGTGCCATGACATTACTCATCTTCTGCTTCAATCTCTTTATCCACACATCAGACAGGTCCCAACCTCACAAGGTTATTAAAAGAATTAAGTCAATCATTACATCTAAAATTCTCAGAACAGAGCCTAGTCAATAACTTTTGGCTGAAATTACTATGAACAGCCTGTGATGATGGTGCTGACCACCCCTATTCTAACTCAAGTCATTCCCAAGGGGCCACAAGAAAGTGGATGCCAGGTGGCTCAGGTCTGCTGGGTTTTAGATTCTTCTTGGGCTGACAGTGCTTCAAACTAATGTGCACCAGGGACTGCTGGGAAATTTCTCACCTTCTCCATAACCACACCAATCACCCAGGTGCCCAGCACCATTCCCACGATGAACCCAAAATTAAAGCACTCTCATCCCTGCCACACTGAAGGGGAAATAAGTTACAGCAAGAGGACAAGTCAGTTCCTTTTCTAAAGATCTAAAGATAACACAGAGATAACCTGAGCATTTTTTAAAATTATTTTTTGGTTTTGATACAGGATCTCATGCAGTCCAGGATGGCTTTGACCCAGTGTGGAACTGAGGATGATACTCAACTCCCTGTAGTCCTGTTTCCACTTCCCAAGTGCTGTACCACAATGCTGGACTCTATGGGTTGTTTTGTCTCCTTTTTTCTTTCACTGCTGGGGATTGAACCAGGGCCTTGAGCATGCTCAGTCAGCACTCTACCATTGAGCTATATCCTCAGCTTACAGAGCTAATTCTAATGGCCCCTGCTAGTGTGCCAATTAGTGTCCACATCTGATCTTCTCCCCTGGCCACATTCACACATTGGAGATCAGTTACACGGTCACCTGTTCTGAATGCCCTCCCCAAGGAGACGGCAGGTCCCCATCTTGCTTACCTTAACCTCTTAAAGCCTTTGCTCTTCTAGAAGGTGATTTATTTTTAATTATGTGCATGCATGTGTTTTAGGGGACTATGTATACATAAATGACACCACACAAAAAAACAGAGATGTTGGCTCTGCTGCAGCCGGAGTTACAAGGGGTTGTGAGCCACCCAGTATGGGTGTTTAGAACGGAACTCCGGTCCGCTGCAAGAGCCGCACAAAGTCTTAACCTCTGAGCCATCTCTCTAACCCCAAGGGTCTTTTTATTTGGAGACAAAATCTCATGAAGCCCAGGCTAGACTCAAACTTACCTCATACTTGGGGTGATCCTAAGCTCCTGATCCTCCGTCTCTACCTTGGGAGTGCTGGGGTTACAGGTGGATGCCAACACAACCAAGTTTATGCAGTGCTAGGGGCAGAATCTAGGGCATCACAAACACTGGGCAAGCAGTCTGCCGATTAAGCTCCACCACCCTTTCAACATCCTCTTAAACCTATATCAGACCCCTTTGGTTTCCGTGCTCTCCTTCTTCTTTAGAGTAAGCCAAAGTCCTTCTAAGGACAAAAATATCCATTGAGTTTGGCATGTCTGCCTTTTGACTCCCCCTCCCCATGAGGGCTCTACGTCACAGCCATGCTGTAGTGCTTAGGTGTGGGTGGTATGGTCTCACCTCTGAATCTTTGCTCTAGCTGACCCATCTTCTGGATACTCCTTCCCTGCAAGTATTGTGTCCACAGCTGCCTCCGCAGAGGCAGGGGACACACAGGAGACATGCATGGGTAGATTGAGGGAACCCTGTCACTGAGGAACCAATGTGGGGAAGAGTGTGGCTGGGCATTCAAATCCCACTCCTGTCACAGTTTCAAGTCACACTGTTTCTCCGAATCTGTTTTCTCATCTGTAAAGTGGGATAATGGTAACAATACCTGCCTTGGGGGAGGGGGTATTCTGGGGGCTAAGAAATAGTATTAATAACAAACATTGAATTTAGAATCCTGCACATAGTAGAGGGTTGGCTTGTGGCCCTCACATATTGATGACCAGCAAGGGCTGGACTTCTCTGGCTGCTTCTTTTCATCTAAGAGTGCCTATGACTCTTAGACAAACCTGGCCCAGGGCCCAGAGTACACTCCCTAGGGCACCAGGCTCTGTATCCCAGGATGGTCACAAGCTGACTTCATGGCACAAGAACTCTGGGAATTTCCTGGCAAGAAGGCTTCTGTTGCCTGGACATGAGAACAGCTGATGGATGGCTGGGCTGAGGCAAGTGGGAAAGCCACCTCCCACCCTCCAACCTGAGCTCCATGGTCTGGGATGGGACACCTAGCATCTAGGCTCAACCACACAGGACACTGGACTGGTCCAAGTCCTGGCATGCCCTGTGGGTCCATCACAGACAAAGACTAGCGTCTTCTGAACCCAGATTCTTCCCAACCCTTTGACTTGAGCACACCAGGTATTTTTGGCAACTCTACCCCAATGTCTGGGGCCTATAGCAATCTCTTCCTGTTACAGAAAGGGCTGGAGATAGACAAGCTCACCCAGAAAAGGCTTGGGAGTGCTGTGACTGTCCTGCTGCACTCTCCAGTTTGCATACATATATTCTAAAGAGCAGTTACTGAACATACAACTGGGATATAGCAGCATGGTTGAGAAGGTATGATCTTGCCCTTGGCTGGCTTGCTGTACGGCCCAGCTCTCCCAACTTGACCGACAAAGAAACTAAGGTTCAGAGGAATCACCTCTGAGAGCCTTCAATGGCAGATCCAGAACCCTGCCACAGGATGCAGAGATGTTTTCCTAACAGCCCTTACTGGCTATGAAGCAAAATGGTGGCTCTAGCAAAATCATTAAATGGCGGTCTCAGGGCACCAAGCTAAATATAAAGTTAGGAATCCCATCTAGGAGAGACCCCTGTACAGGCCTGGCCCTGAGCAAGAAAAAGCAATCCGTCAGTGCTCTCTGCCTATCCTTCTCTCCTGACCAGCATCCTGTCCTGTACTATAACACAAGCCTCATAGGCTTGCCAGGGCTCGGTGGGAGGGGTGGTGGCACCTCATGTCCACCATGTAGAAAGGAGGCAGGCACAAACACATTCACACACACACACACACACACACACACACACACACACACACACACATATTGTGGCCCACAGGTTGACGATTTTTAGTAACCTTCTTATTCTTATCCCTGGAGTGAATGGGGGAGGAGAGGAACAGTGACAGTCCTGGGACAGGGAGAATCTCCTCTGCTGCCACTGAATTCTTCCATTAGGGATTCATTCCCTCCAGTCTTGAAGATCTTCCTGGTACCTGATGTGACTAACCTACAGTTCTGAACAGTCGAGAGTAGAGCTTCATGTCCTCAACCTTTGTCCGTGTAGGGGGACTAAGGGAGGAAGGGTCTGGGAAATTGCTTCACCACTGGGCTCCAGCCAGATAGTCCTTCAGGCTGGCCACATCCCTCCTTGTCTAGACATGGACTGAGAATGGAAAGCCAGAGTCCCCAGGGGCCAGTCTGCCTGTGCCTGGGGTGACTGTGCTTCCTATGGAGGCCCACCCAGCCTGGCAGAGTCTTCCCACGTGCAGCTAGCTGCCAGCCCAGCAGAGGTGAGTCACTGGCCCTCAGAACAGTCTACACAAATGCTGGATAAGCCACAGACCTCCAGGCCCTGCCCAAGCTCTGCTGCCCAACCCCCAGTCTCTGATAGCACATCCCTGTTGCAAAGGTCCCAGCCCTGCCCTTAGCTCTTGGAGACTCAGAGTAGAAATGAGACCTTCAGTATGACAGTGAGGGTCCTTACCTTGGGCACACCCACCTCAGTGGGCCCATTCCTCCCTTAGATCTACTGCACAGACTCGCCCACCAGCTGGTCCTCCATGCAAGAAAGAGGCCCCCTTAACCCTGGCTCCATTTCAACTCCGGGGTGAGGGAGTGGGGGGGTCAAAGGTCAGAAAGAGCAGAAAGGATGCTAAGGTCCGCAGGTGGAATGAGACTCGGAACCTGTGACCCACGTCTCCCTCCCTCCCACAGCTCAGCGCCAGGCTCCACCCCGCCCGCTGTGGACTAGCTTACAGTGGCGTCCTCCGCGCCGTGGTGGCCGATGAGACGGCTGCCGCCTGGATGCCGCTGTGCCCAGCGGCTGATGTCGTAGACTCGGCGTTTGATGACCAGCCACTTGTCGCCTGGTAGGTCGTGCTGGCGGATCTGCTCCCAGCGGAAGATGGGCAGGGGCGCCCCCAGCGGTGCGGGCCCCTCCCGCGGCCCGGGTCCCCCGCCGGGCTCCCCGACGCCGCCCATGGCCAAGTCCTCCGGACCCTGGTACGTGGCCGAGGTCTGAGAGAGACACCGAGGGAGGCGAGGTCGCGAACGGGGGTCTTCCTCCGCCGCCCGCCCTGCCGGCCCCGCCCTGCCGCTGCGGCCGCCGTACGAACGTGCGCCTGCCCGGCTCTCCGCGCAGGGAACTTTTCCCTCCCTTATAACCGCGCTGACAGCGCTCGCCTCGCCCGCCCCTCGTCCCGGCCCCCACGCTGGCCAGTCCCGCGCCCGCTCCAATCCAGGCGCGGCGCCTCCACCTCCATTGGCTGCCCGGGGAGGGCGGTGTCGCGAAGGGGTTTGCCCCACCCGTGAGGGCCTGGGGCCACCACGCCCGGCCCTGCCCCCGGGGCACTGTCCCGCCCCCAGTTCCTTGGACTCAGGACTCAACTGAGAAGGGGGCGGGGGGGGGGGAGATAGGGACCCAGCGCAAGGGAGTCCGGCGGGCCTCTGCGCCCAGGCGCACCACCATTTAGTCCCAGGGGCCCCGAAGAGGAGCCTGGGTCTGAGCAAAAAAAAAAAAAAAAAAAAAAAAAGGCTGAGAAGTGTAGTTAGGGACTTCACGGGGCTTTAGCCACACACCCGGGCGGCTAGAAATGAGGACACTACCTCAGGGTGACTGTCAACAGCTTTCACACAATGGGCCTCAATCCCCCACCCCCCAACAAACCAACATCCACACAAGGAAGCCATCTAGAATCATCTGCTGGGACGGATGGCCTAGTCTCTCATCTGGCTGCATACAGGATTGGGGATGCCCAGGGTGGCCATTGCGGAAAAAGGGAGCAGACAGCACTGGTTCCTGGAGCTCTGAGGTTCATGAGATGAAACCATGGACCAGTCTGCAATGTGTGGCTTGCTTGTTACCGCCTCCCACTTTTCCCCCTTCGATGGTCGCATTTTTGACTTATTAAATTTAAATCCTCTTGAGAGTGTAGCTACATTCCCAAGCGATGTTCCTTTGCGGTAGACACCAGTTCCTTAAAAGTTAAGCATTCTATCAACTGGAGCCACACTGGCAAACTTGAAGGTTTGCCTGGAGAACCTGCCTGCAGGGCTAGTGGAAACAAACTCCCCCATACCACCCTAATGTAACTCGGGACAGAAAGGTAAGGCAGACCTGCTGGGTGGGAAAAAAATCTTTTCAGAACCTTAAAGTGTATTTCTCTAATATTCTAACAGTTCCCCTTGGCTTTCCTATGAATTTGTAGGAGACCTGGACCCTCAGGCACCGTGTGGATACCGAAAAATCCACCAGTCCTCCTTGGCCTACATAAAATAGTACTTTCATGCAACCTTCACATATTTTTCCCAGGCACTTTAAATCATCTCTGAATTCCTCATAATGCCTAATGTGATGTAAATGCTGTAAAAATAATTGTTCACTGCATTGTTTAGGGAACAATAAGAATAAAAAGGCTGAAAGCATTCAGTCCAGATGCAGCCATTACAGGCCTAAATGCTCAGGACAAGGAAAAAAAAAAAAAAAAGCAGAGGCGAGTAATACTCTAAAGAATGTTGGTGAGATAGATACTCAGGACCTGTGAAATGAGGTGACAGCAGGGCCAGCCTACATACACACTGCTTCCATCACATGGAGTGTGAGGAGGTCTTGCATTTTGGAAATGTCCAGAATTATTTTCTGAACGTGTCCAATTTACCCCTATTGTGTCTTAGGCTGCAGAACTCACAGAGATGGAAGACCCATGATCCCTGTGTCAAAGGTCGACCAGAGCTCCAAGAAAGGGACTCATGGTTCTTTCTAGTTCAAGGAACTCTTGCTTTGGTTAGCCTGGACCAGAGACCCATGGTGCTGCCACAGACAGGAGCTGTTTAATCCCTTTCTACAGAGGCTCTTTAAAATCCTGGAACCCTGTTTCCGCACACCTGGAGGAGCCAGCAGCCTGGCCAAAGAGGATGGGCAGGTAGTGCTGCCCCCACATGGTCACACTGAGCACTGGGATGGAGAGAGCCTGCTCTTCCCAGGAAATATACCTCTTTGCATCCAAACCTAGATGCCCATAGGGTGTGGTCCTTGCTCCATTTTCAGCACCTCTCAGTATTAAGATATGGCTGGCTCAAAGGCCATCCAAGGACCCCTTCCCTAGGGCCTTGGCCTGGACTCAGTTATGGGAGGCAGTTAAGGGTAGGGTAAGTTAAATCTGTGACCTAGCCAGGAGTGTAGGCTGGACAGGCTGGGGAGATAAACCAAAGACAAGGCCGGAACCATGCTATCCTCTCTGGCCATTTCAGTCCAACATGGGGTCTATAGGTGGTACGAGACTCTTTCCACCTGTATCTAGCTATGTATTTTCTAAAAGCCTAAACTATGAGTGACCTCTACCTACCTCCCACACAAACAGCTTCCCACTTTAGTTCTCTGCAGGCCTTTGTGTCATCTCTAGGCAGCTCTGTGTCTCTGATCTCTGACCCTGGAGAACTTGCAACTTGTAGGGAATCTGGGGGTGGGGTGGGGTTGGGGGAACTTGAGACTCCATTGTCCCCAAATACCCAAATCCGGGCAGCTGAGGCCTCTCGGACCACTTGGAAAGGGAGAGGCATCACTCAACATTCCTGAGCTGCCATTGGGCCACTGCCAGGGTGTGTGGGTGTAGAAGGGGGAGGGAAGCCAGCCAACTGGAGTACTTTTTTTTTGAGGGGGCAAGCTTGAGGTTTGAGGAGAACCCTTTGAATACCCTGAATGCAGCCCCTTACCTCTGTTCCAGCTGGATTCTTTACTGATGTAAGCTTCTATCCAGGCTTCTCATTGGACGCCTTGATATCACCACCCCCTACAGAGCCACTAGCTACTGTCCTGGAGCCAAGGCATGTTTGTGCAATGCCAGGGCAGCTCAGCAAGTTGGATAGGCAAGGAGTGGCTTTGAGAAAAAGCTCTGGAGCCACCAAGAAAGAGCAGTCCCAGAGTTCAGGCACCAGATGCCCAAAGGAACTCAAATCAGAGCTCTAGGGTTTGGCTTGATTTATAAATCACATCATGAGCTTGGTTATTAGTTCGTGGTACAGCTCTTCTGAGAAAGGAGGGGTGGAGGCCTCAGGCACCATAGAATTATGTAAAGGCCACTTGGAACTATTTAGGCCAGCAATCACAAGCCTATGGGACAGCTCCTCATTAATACCCTTGGATTCACAGAAATGTTCAGTGAAGGTGACCCCAAATCACTATTAGGGATGCAGCTCAAAGCCCAGGGGGCAAACACCTTACAGCTCTTAGAATGGTTACTACCAAAACCAATAAAATAATTCTGTCCGGAAGACAGAAAGTTGGAACCCTGGGGAATAGTTGGTAGAATGGTACAGCCATAATGGAGAAGAATATGGAGGGTTCTTTTAAAAAAAAATAAAACTACCACATAAGCAAATTTACTAATGGTTATTTATTAAAAGGACTCTAAGCAGGGTCTTCAAGAGATATTTGCATACACATCAACAGGTACCAGTAACCCATGCCTATCATCAATGAATGGACAAACACAGTGGGGTATTACACATACAACAGATTATTACCAAGCCTTAAAAAGGAAGTCCTGTCATCTTACAACATGGGTAGATATTGAGGACACTACATTAAGTAAAACAAGCCAGTCACTGGAAGATGAATATACTATGATTCCATTTACAGCAAGTCTCTAGAGGAGGGAGTTAGAGTCACAGAGGCAGAAGGTGGAATGCTGGTGTCCACAGCCTGGGGGCAGGGAAAATAGGGAATTATTTAATGGGCATAGCATTTGTTTTTCGAGATATAAAAGGTTTGTAGATTGGTTTCATGGCAGTGTGAATGTCCCTAACACAAGTATAATTCTACACTTAGAATGTATGATAAGATTACATGTTTTAAAAAGTGGGTAAGCGTGGCAGAGATTGCTTGGTGGGTATTTGCTGTGCCAGCCTGATGACCTGAGACCAGATCCACAGAACTGTTACAGAGCTTGATCCAGTGGCTCCTGCCTGTAATCCCTGTGCTCCTGCAGGGAAGATGGGAAGCAGAGGCAGGAGAATTCCCAGAAGCTAGCCTGGCTTATACAACATCAGACAATGACAGACTCTGACTCAGACAGAGGGGAAAATATGGACCAACACAACATCAGAGGTTGTCTTCTGACCTGCGCACCATGGTACGAGTACTCTCTCTCTCTCTCTCTCTCTCTCTCTCTCTCTCTCTCACACACACACACACACACAACTCACAAGCACCAAATGAATGCCCACAATGCATGAAATGAATGAGGGAAGATTG